CAGTCGCTCGCATTGTGTAGCAACGTAGAAGGGTTTCTTCTGTATGCTTGTGTAATTTGAACCGAATGACATCTGAACCCTCGGAATCGAGGCACTGTGCTGAAGTCGTCCATCTCCAAAACATCCATGTTTTTCTGGATGTTTTTCTGGGCGGTAAAAATTCCGCTAGCAAAAACATGAACAAAACACCAACAAAACGAACGTTTCTTCACCAACGTCTCTTCGAACCGGTCGCGGATGGAATCCCAAGGCTCCGTGCGGGTGCAGCGTGCCTCCGGTCGGGTGCAACGGATGTGATGCGCAGCGCCGGGAAAGGGTGGGAGCGGCGTTGGGAGCGTGGAGACTCAGAAGACCAAGGTTCTGGTGTGCTCGGGTACGTTCAGCTCTCGAGTTTCGAGTGGGATCTAAGATTAGCGTAGCCACTTTAAAAGAGTCTTGCAGCCCGATGTAGGCTTTTAAAGACACATTGACGTAACCAGTGTTGGCAGCCTTGTGGAAGAAATAAACTTGTAGCATCTGGGTGGAGAGTCCGGGAACTGCAGCTATACTTCATGCCACTTCACCACGTTCTTGTGGATGCTCAGTGGCCTTGCCGTTCTCCAGTCTTGTCCGGTGAACACGGCCACGCTGGGTCGTCTGACCCTGCAGCTGGGTGACTCAAACCACCATTGATCCGTCAGCAGCTGGGAGATGCGATCGGATCACCTTGGGAAATTGTTTGAGTCTTCGGCATGTGATGTGGGTGATGTGGATCTTGCGGCACAGCCTGGGTCCATTAAACATTTGGATGCATCAAGGCCAGAACTCTGCCATTGAAGCTGAAGCTCCAAGAAACAGTTGGAGTTGGAATCCCGAATGGAGATCGAGGGACTAACCTCCAAAGCAAGTCACCCTCATGGGGCCAATCGTGCATAAATTCATGGGAATCCACTGGCCACGTGTCCCACTTGCGAACCCAAAATCCCCAAAGCTCCAGTGCAAAAAATAGGTGACACTCAAGGCCAAAAGGGATCCAAAGGGGCCAATGGATGAAGATGATGAAATGCGAACACGTTCTCACGCAGCGAGGGTTGAGCTCTCACAAATACACAAAAACCCTTGACTCAGATGTTCAACACTGCCTCATTCTTTATCAAAGTGGAAACTCCTTCACTCTTCACACTTGTGGATCCTCCCAGCCAGAGAAGACAGTAGACGACAAAAGCCTGCCTTCGACGCCCTGCAAAGCCAAAAGGCCCAGGCCACCGCTGAACAACCGTGTTTGTATGAAGAACCTGTGACTCTTGGTTTTGTCA